TAATAAATACAAGCATTGTGCGCTACTCACAGGTTTGGATTGTCTGGTCTTCCAAGTGAATTTGTTTCTTCAGAAGATCTGAGGTAAGAAAAGACAGATAATTTACTTCTTTTATTTAAATTAAAATCCCAACAGAAACTACCCAATMTTTTTATTTTGCTGAATCAAACTGCATATTGTGTTAGTGAGTACTTTAATCGAGGTAAACATACTATCGTAATCTTGCTGCAGTCTGGTTTTCTCTTGAGCCAGTGCGTCAAAATTATGTCTCAGATTTTTCAAGGCGTTTTCCTTCTCCTGCGTCAGCTTGTGGTAATAGTCTGCATCCTTCTGGCTCTGCTGCAACTGTCTCTGTAAGTCTGTCATATAAAAAATATATATTTTTAAATAATATATGTAATGACCATGTCTCCTGCTAGAACCAGGAGATTCTAAGACCTTACCTCCACAGTCTGCATTCACAGGGCAGCGTGCTCTCAGCGCCTCCACTTCTTGTTTTAAGTCTGACAGAAGGAGAAGAGGTGAATGTTAATRTTAGGAATTAGAAAAATTTAAGCCAGTTAGTTTTCCATGGGATGAAAAGGAATGGCGCCCATGTTTAGGTAACCACTCAGTGAATTTATTCCAGGTTTTGCTCGTAGGCAAAGTGCAGTTATTAACTTTTTTTWCTGGTAAGAATACTAAAGAAGGGAAATGAATCAAAGCTGGCCCATTTCTTTCTAAGGCTATTTTGCTGTGTGTCTTGGAATTTATTTATTTAGTTTTTGTAAGTTTTGTTTAGGTGTCTTAAAACGTGTAGAATGAAGCACATTTTATTACATTTAAGTATTGTTATGTACACTCAATCACATGGAAGCTGCTCAATGCCTTTAGTTGAAGATGACTTGCTCAATCAAGTTCCAATCTGGGATCAAAATGAGGAAACAAGAGGATAACTTAATTGTTTTTGACAAACGGTCTGCTTGAAGTGTTTGAGAAACTGATCTACTGGGATTTAACCACTCATATTAACTATRTATACTAACTAATCCTGCTATCACTGTTGTTGTTTGCAGTATGTGTGACAGGGGCTACATTGGGAGTGCTGTGGAATGTATTAAGATGATTTATCTCTTGTGTCTTCTACATGAGTATAAGCAAACAAACAAACAAACAGTCCGAAATGACGCAATCACTGATCCGCTGTCTCAGGTCTTGTTGAAGTATAAAAAAGGCTTGAGGCTACAATTCTCACTGGCTCCCCAAAACAGGACATTAAAGAGCCCTGCATACAAAATTCAAACCAAACTGTCATCTTGTGGTCACGTGCTGTGAGATATATATATTTTTTGTACATTTCATAGTCCATAGTCCCAAGTTTGTGRAATGAATGACAAGCCAAACATGGTATTATTTATCTAAACATTATTCTATAAAAAAGGAAATAATATACTTTTGCGATATGTGTTGAAGTTAGTTGAACATTTTCTCTGCTCTGATTTACCCAACTGTTCTTTCTGAAACGAAGAGCCAGAGAGTGTTTTTCTCTCAAAAATAGTACCCCAAGCTCTCCAAGTAGCATAATTCTGACAGACATTGCAAAAACAGTAGTACAAGTTTATGTGTTTATAATATATCTGACAAAAAAAAAAAAACAGATTGACCAAAATCTAAATCACATTCCTGGTTCAAGAGTGCTGTCTTGGCTCTTCCTCTGTCCAACACCAACTGAATACAAGTTTAAGACAACTTGAATGGAATCTGCTCACTGTTTTGYTCATTTTGTTGGGCTCTTGTAGAAACTTAACTGATGCCACTAATGTGACTACTGGTCAACCATCGACCAACCTACTCTTTCCACTGTKGTTCTTAAAATATTTTCCATTGAATTTTGTTTGGTGCCAAGATCATGGTAAGACTAGACCACTCAGTTTTTTGTCTTTCTCTGCTTTTTAGACATACATGACACAAAATATAGTTCAGAATACCACTAAAGAGGCCCTGAGTACCACAAACAGTACTTGAACCACAGTTGGATACCCAATGATTAAGGACATAGCCTTCATGTCAACTTCAGTGTGTTCCCTATGTACATTACCTCAAGAGATTACAACCTATGTTAGAGTTAATTTGGTTAAAGTAAAACTTACTCTGGCAAATATTCTTCTTCTTGTAAATATTTGAAAAATATGATCTAAATATGACACTTTATTAACCTTTTTAAATTAATCATGTTGATTATTTTATAACAGAAAATTGCACCAAGAATTTGCATTTTTCATCACATACTTTTGTTGGCGCTTTCAAGTTTCTTGCTCTCTCTCTGTTGGGTTTTCAGTTTTTCTTCCAGGTCTGAAAAGCAAAGCAAAACCAGGTCCTAAAGTAAAGACCATCATTAATTTCCTTCAGATTGTTGAATTGCTGCACACAACAAGACCACAAACCTGCGATGCTCTGTGTAGCAGGTTTAGATGCCTGTTTTTTGGCATTTTTCAGTTGAGTCTTCAGGTCACTGATCTGCGTTACTGGAGGAAACATAAAAAGAGTTGGAAAAATATATCTTATGTTAAATGGCAATAAACAAAATTGTGATACCAGTGGCACATTGCATGAAAGTAGGATCACAGATTAAGCCAGGATTTTTGTGCTATCCTGGCTGACTTAATCGTTTATTTCATGTTTCCATGATAACCAGTTGCCTGAAACTGAATTGATTAAGTTGAATCAGTTTTTTTCTGAGCAGCCAGCCAATCAGAAATCAGCTAGTTTCATTCAATTACTCAATATTCTTATATACAAATTTCTACGAAGTTCTTTTTACTTTGCATTCAAGTATCATAAAATAAACGAATGTCAAGTTGTACAGATTTTCCCTAAAAAAGTCCTACTYTCTGCTGTGCTTTGTCACAGAAAAACCCCACCACCCCACACTCATGCATAAAACCTCCGCTCATCGCTCTAAGCTGCAAACATTGAAAAATTCCCAATAAAATAAATAGCATTTATGCAATGAGTAACATTTCCTTCTGTGGGTTAACTTTCACTGCTCATTTTTAGGGCAAAGTCTACAGCTGCTCATTTTCATATAACTTGAAAACGGATTTAGCTGCACAGCAAACTTATGTTTTTGAATTTAAGTRTTCAGTCAGTCCGCTATAATATGGCACCCACTTTCTCTGCTTAATGAACAGCAGCAGTGTTTCACTCTTTAGTGATCACGTGTGTCATCTTCTCACATGGATCCATGACCTGTTGTCCTCATATGTGGAAAAAATAAAAAGGATGCCAATCACAAGTTTGGGTCTTAGAGGTTAACCATTGCTTGGCTGGACAGAATTGGGACACACATCTCTTGCAGTTTCAGTGTGATCAGGAAACCTGTGATCCACTAAATGTTACAGGCAAACTGTGAACTCACAATCTTACTAGGTCATTTACACCTGGGTAGCCACCCCGTTTAGGTATTGGTGTGCAACAAACTAAGCTTGTTTACAAGTTCTATGGTTGTTCAAGAGCGTATTCCTGCTGGTATCCTGGATGTATAAATCCTACTTTCATGCAATCAGCCCCAAAGTTTAAAGCTTGCTCATACACAGGTCAAAAATCCTTGAGTTTGACTGCTTCAGCAGAAGTTCATCATCTTGAAGTTGAATCGTTGCGGTGTTGAGTCTTTCTTGAAGCTCTGAAGGTGGTTTGAAAAACATTTTAAAAAATGTTATTATTAAATCAGTATATTTATAGATGAATTTCTATAATTCAGTTGTTGTAAGTTTTTTTTTTTTTTTACCAGCGAGGTTTGTCTCATATGTTTCCTTGAGGTCTGATAGCTCTTCCTCCAGTGGTTGGATTTTACTTTGAAGCTCCAAAATCTCAGCCGCTAAAAACAAGTTAAGCTACTTATATTATTTCTCATGTTTATGCTATAATTTGTAAAAATTTTAAAGTGAAATATTTATTTAAGATTAATTGCAATAATTCATTCATTAAAACAAACAAAAGCACATCTATTTACAATAAAAACAAATCACAAATTAAATGAAATACTTACATAGATTAGCAATCCTTATACCAGGTATAGTCACTTGGTCAGTTTTTTGTTCGATCTGAATTTTGATGTTCTCCAGTTCATTTTCCAGCTCTTAAAAAAGATTTTTGTGTTTATGGAATGTACAGTCAATTACATTTTTTGTTGTTTGTTAATATTTTTATTCTGCTACAGCCCACCATTCACTCTTTTCGCTTGTGCCTCCAGTTGTTCTTCTTTATACTTCTGAAGTTTGGCTATTTCATCTTGAGAAGCCAAAATTTGAAAGACTTGAAAATAAAACAAAAGATAAAACATGGATCAGTTAACAGATACAAAAGTTCAACAATAAGTCCCTCACTGTGATACCTACTCAGTTTTGTGTTCTCATCGTCTTTGTCTTTAATTCCATCAATCAGGGTCTTGATTTGATCTTGAAGTACTACAGGTAAAAGATACAAAGCTATATTTTTTCTTCTACTTTTTTCCAAGTCTGGATTGTAAACACTGTTAACTTACTGCAGCACATAAAGGTAGATTTCCGTGTCACTCACCTGTAATCATGGCATAATTTGTATCGTTAGCTGGCAAATTTGACAGTCTTTCAATCTCGGTTAGTTTAGCGACAATCTGCAAAACTGAAAGATTTTTTTTAATTGTTAAATACACCGTACATCTTCATTAAACATAAACTTCAGTGGATGTATTTGTTTGTTCCAGTGGATTGTTAATGAAGCTGAACTCACATCTTTGAGCTTGAGGACTTATCTCTTTCAGTTTTTTTGTTTTGCTGTCCAGTTCTTTGTTCTTCTCATCTATGATTTGTTGAAGTTCTTCAAAACACAAAACAATCAGTTTTTTTGCACATTACTGAGCTGCATAATGTTTTTTATATATACTCTGCTGGTGTAAAACTGTATTTTCTGCCCCTAAAACAAACAGTGATTATTTGGCTTTAGTTGACAGGTAAGGATTTTCTTACCGTCCACCTTGGACTTGGATACAGAGTTTGCCAGTTGTCTCTTCAGTTCTTCCAGGTTTGCAGTTAGAGTAGAAATCTGAAGAGCTAAAATCAGGAAACAAACAGTATTAAAACTTTTTTTAAATACTTAGAGGAACAAGTTGAAGGATTATGAACAATTAATATCTTACCTGTTGCAGATGGCCTTTGATTGACCTCACTTTGAAAAAGCAGTTTGATTCTGATRAGGCTGATGAGACTGGTCTGAGCACAGCTAAGACCGAACTAGACTGCTGCCATTTTAAAGCTACAGTCTATATGATTTCGTAGCAGTTTAAACCTTTATCAGTTTTGATTACATTGTTACTTACAAGAAATTCTGTTATTTGTAAGCACAAACAAGAGTTGTTTTAATATTTATAATATGAAAGACTTGCAGATAAAGCAATATGATTTCTGCAGGTTGGAGTTGTTTTAAGACAACAAATAAACCATTAGTTTAAATGAATGGTAAATGGACCGTACAGATCCATCCAAAGCACTTTACACTTACAGACATTCACACACTAATGATGGCAAACTACATTGTAGCCACAGCTGCCCTGGGGCACACTGACAGAGGTGCAGCTGCCATACACAGGCACCACCGGACCCTCTGACCACCAGAAGTAGGCAAGGCAGGTGAAATGTCTTGCCCAAAGACACAACAGCATGTGGGCATGGTGGGGAGTTGAACCTGTGACTTGCGGATCCCAAAGCCGGCTGCTCTAGCACTACACCACAGCCGCCCCTAGTTTATCAATCCTGTCAGACCTAAAGTCTATTTGTCTAAACTGAGGTTGTTCATAGAGCCATCTTAAACAAGAAAGATAATAATTATTCATAACATTTCTGCAAAATCTAAGTTCAGAATGTCAGGAGTATTCCATCAGGATTTTATTTTCTTTTAAAGGCAGTTAGAGCAAAACAATAAGAAATGCTTCATCACTCACCAAGTGAAGTAACGTTGTTGGTCTGGGACTTCAGCTCGTGGACCTTGGAATCCAAACTGTTCTGCAGATCTATAAAATCACATGAATTCCAAGTCTTCCTGTCCGAAGCATGTTAGCATGTGTCAGGACATAAGAGACATCACCCACCATTAATCTTCTGTTCGCTCTCAGGACACTCTCTCTCTGTCTGGTTCACACGTTTCCGCAGATCTGAAACAAAACAAAAAGTAAAACTAGTGAACATTAAACCTATACCCAGTCTTGTCCAAAGTGATACTTGAGTGAAAGTACAAGTATCTTACCATAAATTTACTGTGATATTTAAGCTGAAGTCTTCTTTAAGAACAATAAAGTCTTAAAGTATCTGATATTTATTGTACTTAAGTATCAAAAGTAAATTTCTGGTGTAAAGTGAACATACAGTAAGTATTAAAAATAAAAGTATTGAGTATAAGTGAGTGGTTGGAATTTCCAAAATGACAATTATTGGGAGGTGAACCTAACAAAAAACATTTTTCCAAAGGCTATAATGGCCATAATGACCATCATCCATCCATCCATTGCTCTACTGCCCTTACTCTACTCTGGCCCTTGTTGTTTTTGGATTGAGCAGAGAACCACCTCAATGTGGGCGGTCTCATAATATTACAAAAAGTCTGATTTAGATTTATTTGTGACAAAGCAATAATGGTACTACACCAAACTTGAAGGAAAAGTACTGAATATTAAACTGGACAATCCAACAGTAGGCCTACGATGCTTCAGACTTAAGGGCAGGATGACAGAGAATGGTAAGCTAATGATGGCTTATTGTTAGCTTCTTGTTGTTGGTAACTTGCTACTGCTGTTGTGTGTAAAAAAACATGTCACACTCACTGCAAACGATTCACATACAGTTACTCTCACCTGTTTGACGCAACCCCAGATCAGTGAACCATTCATTGAGCAGCAATACGTTCCAGAAATCGGGGTGGACCTGGACCATAAGGGCTAATGCAAAATGCTGAACCCTGGTTTGAACCCCAGCCAGGCCAGACCGTACAGTGCAAAAGCACCTATAGTCTCTCCAGTGTGTCAGGGTCTCCTACTGGTTGGACATGCCTGAAGCACCTCCCTAGGGAGGCATCCAGGAGGCATCCTTACCAGATGAACCACCTCAACTGGCTCCTCTCGATGTGGAGGAGTAGTGGCTCTATTTTGAGCCTCTCCTGGACAACTGAACTTTTCACTCTATCTCTAAGGGAGAGTCCAGATACCCTGTGAAGAAAAGTCATTTCGACTGCCTGTATCTGTAATCTTGTTCTGTCTGTCATTACCCAAATTTCGTGCCCATATGGTGAGGGTAGAAACGTAGACCGACCGGTAAACAGAAAGCTTTGCCTAACAGCTCAGCTCTCTCTTTACTACAAAATATCGGTACAGAATCCACAAAACTGCTGAAGCTGCACCGATCCGTCCATCAATCTAACACTCTAGTCTTCTGTCGCCCTTGAACAAAACTCAAAGATACTTGAACTCCTCCACTTAAGGCAGAACTTCACCCCCAACCCAGAGAGAGCAATCCACCCTTTTCCTACTCAGATTTGGAGGTGCTGATCCTCATCCCAGTCGATTCACACTGGGCTGCGAACCACTCCAGTGAGAGGTGTAGATCACTGCATCAGCTGGTAAATCTTAATTCTAAGGCTCCATAGATAAGGTGTTTATTCATTATATTTTGACAAAATGCAGTTGGAAACTTCAAACATTTGACCAATGCACTACAGCTGCCTACTTTGCCACATACCAATTTTCAGTTTAATCCTCARTTTGACGTGATTGGTAAMACACAGTACATTTAGACTTTTCATCCAATCACAATAACATTCATTCTATCCAAGAAGCGCTATATAACTGGATTTTTTTTTCTGAACGACAAGCCAGGATGAAAACAAGCTGAAATATGAGTAACAAGACTATTTTTAAAAATGCAAGAAGAAATTACAGATAATTGCATGAAAATAGAAGGGCTAGAAGTAAAATGTAATGTAAAATAAATTTTAAATCAATTTCAGTTTTTAAATTGAGTGTATTCAAAGATTTTTTAAGTTACGGGAAAATAATTATAATTTAAGGGCGTTCTTTATTTTTGAAATACGTAAAGTAAGAACAAATATCAAATACAGATGTGTTTCAGTATTGGGTGTTAAATTGTGGAATAATTTAAATGATGAAATTAAGTTTAGTGACTCTTTTAAGTTTCAAAAAGAAAATTAATTATGAGTTATGGTTTGTAGTAGTCAGTTGCGATGATGGTAATATATTACATATTTGTTTTGCATGTACGGACAATAATAATGATATTGTTGATAAAAAAACTGTATTAATGATTTGCATGTAACCAGGATATAGTTGAAGTGCCTCTACCTATTTGGTCATATAGGGTTAAAGTTTTGTTTGTTTTTGTGTGGAGTGTTCTTTAATGTGACCAAATAAAT